CACCCAGCTTTTTTTCTGTTGCTTTTCATTATTTGATTATTTTTAATCAAGTATTAATCTCCAAACCCAGACACCAAGTTTTCTATAGTTTATAAGTTTCTATAGTTTATATATATTGATTACCTGCATTTGAGAGACATTGAGAGGAAGGAGCAAAGGGGATTCTTTGTCCATCTGAAAATGCAGATCATCAAATAATCCAAGCCAAGCAAACATTTATAGGGGGGGTGTCAAATGGTATATAGATTCTGGGTTAGTAAAGAAATGATGAAAGGATAAAATACACTGATTGCTCATGAAGTTTAAAGAACAGAAGACAGAACAGAAGACATTGATTCTAGATAACATTCCACAAGGGACAAATGTATGGGCTACATTAGTCTTTCCCAGCTGGGTTGGGGTGTTTCTTGAAAGTTGCATATTGATTGAAAGAAACTCAGAATACTCTGTTGGGTAGTTCCTGAAAAAGCAAGTTCTCACATACAGAATAAACAGCCTTAGTCAAGAAGGAAAACAGGGGAGACTGCCTGTTAAAATGCCATTTTAAATTAGTGATGAAGCCTTAATGGGAGGCCAAAGGATCACACAATATAACTTGCTGTGAATCAACTTGCTTTCTTAGACTGTGCCTCAGTTTTCTCCTGTTTTAGACCGTTTTTCAAGTGGTTATTTTTGCTGGGGGAAGGGAGATGGGTGGGATGCTGGTTGTATAGGACATCTGTGGGCTGATGTTCGACGTTTTCCAGAGGAACCAACGTATCCAGTGCAGGATAGTAATAATTACAGGGAGCAAAGGAGAGAAACAATTCTTTATAATTTGTGAGGGAGATATAGGAATGTACACTGAATACAACTGAACTCACATCCCTAGCACAATTTGCAAGAGTTGCAGCCCTTCAAAGAAAACATGCGATGACACAAAATAATTTTTAAATAATTGGTAATGTGATCCCAGTTAAACGATTGAGGCAAGAGAGAATAGCGCAATCACTAAACAAACCATAAGAATAAAGNGGCAAGGGAACCAGTTCGTCAATGAGGCAGGTCGAAGGAGAAGGAGGCAGTGGAGGTGGAGGGGTTGGTGCAGGCAGAGCAGGCACTGGCGGCAGGGCAGGCACGGGAGGCAGGTAGCGGGCCATTTCCATGGTTGACAGCTCCACGAGCTCCACGGCCTGCGCCTCTTCGACTGATATAGTCAGCGTGATGTCTGTTTTTGCGAGGAGGTGCTGCCTGAGGAAGATGTCCTTTAGGCCACAGATGAACTGCTCAGTCAGATTGTCCTCCAGGTCGGAGAAGTCGCATTGTATAGTGGCAAACTGTAGCGCCTGGAGGAACTGATTGATCGAGTCAGCCGCCTTTTGGACACACCGGTGGAAGGCGTACCGGTGTGTAATTTTCAAAGGCGTTGGGGCGTAATGAGCCTTGAGCCCCGCCATGAGCTCATCCCATGTCAAATCGTAGACGGGCCGCGGAGCCGTGAAGGAGCGAGCCGTCCCAAACATCTCGGGGCCACAGGCAGTCAGGAAGAACCCGCACTTTCTGGCCTGTGAATACCCTTGCCGGTTGTTTGCGATTAAAATACATTCGAACCGCTCCAAGAAAGCGGCCCAGGATTCGCCGGCTGTCCCAAAAGGAGCGAAAGCGGGCATCCCAGCCATGGCGATATGCCGTTGAGGCGTAGTGAGATGCGAAGGAGATTTCCCGGCAAGGCGGGGCGCCTAATAATTGTTTGCTTGCCCTGTAGGTTGAACTCAGAGCCCGTGATCCCACCAGCTCGTCGCCAGTGTTAAGTTCTCTGAAAGAACCAGGCGGGAGGCGTCTGAGGTAAAGGTAAGTCAACCAACGTTTATTAACAGGCAATGCAGAACAAGAACAGTACACCGGCACCCCCTCCCTGTCTGACAACTATTTATATTGAGCTGTCAAACAAGGAAACCAATAGCCGTGCGTTTGACAGCCCGGCAACCGCAGGTCGCGCCTGATTGGCTCCGGCGCGCCTGGCTGTTGCCGAGCTGTCATTCGTAAGTCCGAGGACTTAACACCAGGATATAAATTGAGTTCTTTAGAATTGTATGTTACATCTTATTTAGGGAGGAATTTGTCATATTTTGCAGCCTTCAGAACTTTTTACTGAAGAGATAGACTTCCTAAAGTTCATAAAACATACTAAACTATTAAATAGTTTCTTTAGTTTTTAGTAAGAAATCGTTGTTGAGCAAATCACAGCTTTGTATGCTGGCTGAACAGAGTAATATTAGGTAATGTTTTCTTCTTACAAGTTACGCATTAGTCTCTGGTTTTTGATTACTATCCAATGCACACATCCTGAGAAACAATTTCAGTTCCAGCAAAAACTGTAAACAATATCTAGGCCAAGAGCTGTTTCTCTCTCTGTTTCCGGAATGATATTATGGGGAGGACAAATGCTTGGTTTCCTGTCACAGATGTCATCCAGCTGTTAAGGAAGAATTGCTTCAAGGTGTCTGTAGTACCTTGAAGTGATGGCTTCTTGGGTGCCTATGGATTCCATATTTGATCTAACTTAGAGGGCTGACAATATCTCATAGTTCTCAGACTAATGATTATAGGCTTTATAAACAACTATCGAAAGGTGGAGAAAATAGATGTATTTGCAAGTTCAAATGTAATAAAATCTATGATATTCCATATTTCTATGATTGATTAATTTATATAGAGTAAATCTCTAATATTTTCTTTGGTTCAGTTTAAAAAAGATGGAAGCCTTTATCAACCGTACTGGACCCAGTGGAAATTTGGAACTGCAAAACTGCGAAAGTGAAAATTTCCTCTATTTTGCCTATGGTAGTAACTTGTTGCGGGAAAGAATAATGTTAAGAAACTCTTCTGTGGTTTTCCTTACCGTAGCACAATTACTGGTTTGTACTATCTTTCACTTCTTTCCTAGTAGAAACCAATATTAGTAAGTTAGTTAGTAATACTTAAAGTTGTAACTATATAATACAAGGGATGCATGTTGAATGTTTTCTTCAGTCTCTGTTGAGTTTGTTTCTTTGATTATTTTTACAGGGAGAAAAAAGTTTAGCAATGTTTATCCCTAATGTTTCAAAGCCAGTTAGTTGCCCAATTACTTGTTTGTTGTTGCAAGTATTCAAAACACAGATTTCAAGTCAATTTTCAACAATAGAAATGTGGCTCATTGTGACTTTTTTATTCCTGATCTCATTTCTAATTAAAATTTTCTATAGATAGAATTTTAACCAGGTATGTGCTTCTTTTGTTTTTCTAAATGTTTCATTCACTATATTATAGGAAAACAAGAAACTTAAAACTGGATATTACTGACCTTCCTGTTTTAATTCACAGGATTATAAACTTGCTTTTGGTTCTCATCAAGGGAAACCAAGTCTCCAGTGGAAAGGAGGTACAGCTACTATTGTCTATAGCCCTGGTGAAGAAGTATGGGGGATAATATGGAAAATGAATACTAGTGATTTATATTCTCTGGATAGGTGTGTTGCATACAGTTCTTTCCTTGTCTATCAATGTATGCGCAGTTTATATTGTTAAAATCTTGTTTTGTTGATTTTTGTTGTTTACTTCTCAAGATTTCTCCAAACTAAAAAAAAATCCTTTAATTATAGAGGTTTCCATATCATATTCCTTAACTTATAACAGTTCATTTAGTGACTGTTTGAAGTTACAACACCACTGAAAAAGCAGTTTATGACCCTTTTCACACTTAGACCATTGCAGCATCCCCACGGTCATGTGATCACAATTCAGACGTTTGGCAACTGACTCATATTTATAACAGTTGCAGTGTCTCAGGGTCATTCCCTTTTGTGACCTTCTGACAAGCAAAGTTAATGGGGAAGCAGATTCACTTATAACCATGTGGCTAACTTAACAGCTGCAGTTGATTCATTTAGCAACTGTAGCAAGAAAGGTCATAAAATGGGACAAATGTTTCACTCAGGAACATAAATTTTGGCTTCAATTGTGGTTGTAAATTGAGGACTACCTCTATTGGTATCAAAATGAAATACCTATTACAAATTGACCAGTAAAATTGAACTTGGACTCCTAGTGTTTGCTATGTATTTTGAAAAATAATCTAGGCTTTGGTTTGTTTATATCCCACCATTCTTCCCAATTTCCAGATGATATCTAAATAATTCTGCCTCCAATTTCAACTGCACAGCTACTGTAGTAAACTCAACAGAATCAAGCAGTTGTCATCTTTAAAAAAAAATTATTTATACATTTTTCCTTCTTTAAAATACATACTGTATTTTTTGGAGTATAAGACGCACCTTTTTCCCTCAAAAAAGAGGCTGAAAATCTGGGTGCATCTTATACACTGAATACATCCTTTTTTGCGTCATGAAACCCTGCCTCCTTCACCAAAATGGCCATGCATAGCCTTTAGGAGACTTTCAGAGTACTCCTGGGGGCTGGAGAGGGCAGAAATGAGTGAAAAACAGGCCGGTTTTTGCTCAATTTTGCCTCCCCAGCCCCCAGGAGCACTTTATAGCCTTCTAAAGGCTAGTCATGCCCTTTTCTTTGAAAAAAAAACCGGGCCATTTTTGGGAGGTCTGCAGAGTGCAAAAACCTTTTTTTTAATTTGCCTCTTCAAAACTTTTGTGTGTCTTATACTCCAGTGTGTCTTATATTCTGAAAAATATGGTATGTGCTTAATAAACAGTGTATTGTCTGGATCAATTGGCTTATACAAAGTATTAATAAACTAGTAGTAAAAGTTATAATTATAACAACATCCATAATTAAACTACCACAATTTACTTATTGTAGTATTTTTTTTACTTCATGTACTTATATATTTCAGCAATCTTTCATCCTCTAATTTCTACCTTTTTTTATCCAACCATTGATAAAACATATCCCATGTTAAAAATATTCTGTTTCTTCCTTATCTTTTATTATTAATATCAATCTATCCATCTTCACAGTCTAATATTTTTCTAATTATACTTCCATCTGTAAGTGTGTCCTTATTTTCCCAGTATTCTGCAAATACAATTCTTGCTGCTTTCAACACGTGTATTATTAAATATATAGTCCCTTTATTGTAATTTTCTGGTAGTATACCTAACAAAATTATTTCTGGTTTTAAGTCTATATGTTGCTTTATCATTTTCTCTAACCATGTGTGTATTTTCATCAAGAGTATTTTTGCTTTTAGACAAGTCCATCACATATGAAAGTAGGAACCTGGTATCTGATTGCATTTCATGGACATATTATTAAACATCTTTGCTAGTCTTGCTGGTGGTAAATGCCACCTATAAAACATCTTATACAGATTTTCCTTAGAAGAAGTTGCCAGTGTCAATTTATAATTTCTATCCCAAAGTTTTTGCCATATGTCTAATTCTATGTTATATCCAAAGTTTTTTGCCCATACTATCATTGTTTCTTTCACCTTCCATTTTAATATTTAACAAATAACTATATATCGTCTTTATTAATTTTTCATATGTCCCTAAAAATATCTGATCCAATGCTGTTGGCTCTTTATAGAATCCATGTGTTTTTGCATCTTTCACCTATCTTGATTGTATTTGCAGGTATGGCCACCATGCTAAATCTACTTCTTGATTTTACAATTTCTGTGTCCTTTTACATTCCCCATCTTCATTTAAAATGTCCTTATAAGTTACAATTCTTTCCAAGTTAATAACATTTGGATGTATCAGTGCTTCAATCATAGAAAGCCGGACTGGTATTTTCCTACAGTTTTTTTGTTTTGACTTTTTCCCATACTAAAAGTAATGCATTTCTTACATAATGTCTTTGGAAATATCTATGTATTTTATTCTTATGATACCACAAAAAAGCATGCCACCCCAATTGAAGATTATTTTCCTCCAATAATAATAATCTTCTATGTCTCAGATTTACCTACTCTTTCAGCAAAATAAGTACAAATGCCTATAATAAAGCTCCCAATCTGGTAATCCAACAACTCCCCCCCACAATTGTTTTTAGATTCTTGCAGCATTTTCAATCTTATTCTTTTTTCCCTTGCCATATATATTTCAACATTAATTTGTTCAATTCATCAAAAGAAATTTTATCTAACTTTATAGGAATTGTTTGAAAAAAAATCATTTTGGCAATATATTTATTTTTATAGTTGATATTCCTCCTCGCATCGATAGTTGTAGGTTCTTCCATTTCTCCAAATCCTGCTTAATTTGTTGCATTAATTTTATATAATTATCTTTAATTATTGCACATCTTGCTGTTAGATAAATTCCTAGATATTTTACTTTCTTGACCATCTGGAAACTTGTTTTCTTAATCAACTCGTTTTTCTGTAAAGTTTTAAATTAATATTTTAGTTTTTTCTTTTTTTCTTTTCAATCCTGCCACTTTCCACATTCTTCTATTTTTCTTATAAGTTTGGGACCAGTTTCTAATGGTTCTTCTAAAATAAATACTACCTCATCTCCAAATTCTTGTGGTTTATATTTTTCTTTTTTAATTTCCTTCCCTTCTATATCCGGATCTTATCTAATATTTCTGTTTAATATGTCCAGTGTTAATATAAATAACAGTGGGGATAGTGGACATCCTGTCTAGTACCCTTTCTTATATTGAAGTTTTTTGTCAAGTCCCCATTAGCAATACTTTTGCTGTTTGTTGGGAGTATATTGTCCGAATCATATTTATAAATTTCCCCCCAAAATTCATGCATTTTAATTGTTGTATCATAAATTGCCAATTTAAATTATCAAATATTTTTTGTGCATCTAAAAAACCCCAATGTGATTTGTTTTTCTGAGTGGACTTCATAATACTCCAATGTATCTAAGATAATTCTCACATTTTTAATTTGTCTTTTTGGTAAAAATTCATTCAAATATCTTTTAAGTTGTTTCGCTGTTATAGAAGGAAATATTTTGTAGTCTTCATTTAATACTGATATTGGTCTATAATTCTTTATGTCAGATCCCTAAAAGTGATACTGCCATTCAATTGGCAGGGGGGAGCCTCGGAGTTAAATCATTAGCTACATTTGAAACAACTGAGTTTTACAACTTTACAACTGATTTCCTGTCACTGGGAGACTGAAGGTCCCAACATCTCTGGAGGGATGTTTATGGTAGCCATGTGGGATATATAACTTTGATGTCTAACGAGATATAGCCATGGGATCGTATGCTTCATTGACTCCCAGGGCATAAGAGTTAAGGAAGCATCTTCACATTTGTATATTGGTCAGAATCTGCATTCGGACAAAGGGGAGGG